AAAAAAAAAAAAAAAACGGAAGAGAGGACTGACTTATAGAACGGGCCCGATCAGATCAGATGGAGATCCCCTCTTGTCTAACTTGACAAGGACATGCATCACGATAAGTCAGCCGAAGAAAACTAACTGCAGCAATGGAGATTTCGAGGGGTGCAGACGGTCGCCGAGTCAGACGCGGGGCAGTATGTGATAACAGGCGGTAAGACCAGTCAAGATCCCCTTGAAAGGAATGCCCTTGCTTGCCGTATGTCGCCCAAGTTCAGCACAACAAAGAAATGCACAGACGACAACAGTTTTGGGCCTGAAAGGTCCTGTCCCGTTGGGCCTGGTCCCACTGGGTCCCGAGGGGTCCCAAGTAAGTCGTGGACCAGGGCCAACGTGATAGGGGTACCAAGCCGGTCCCAAACTGCCTCTACCGTACTGGAAAGGAAAAGACAACTTTCAGCAAGAACTTACTCCTACAGCCGTTCAGAAATGAGAAGACAATGCACCGGAGAAAGATATGTCATTTAGAGTAGATACATCATCCATCCATCCATCAGGTGAGAAAGCAGTCCACATGCTCACACACACAACCAGGACCGCAGAGAAGAGGAAGAGAGCCCAGCACACCCTCAACAGGCCATGAAGTACCAAGCAACCTCCCACGGGCATACCCAGGTCACACGGCACTTACCTTTGAGGCCCGGCCTCCGAAGATGGATAACGAGTCACCCCCCTCTCTCATAAGTCCTCCTGACCCCTAGCTACCACTACACGAAGTGTCCTAGCATGACTAAGAGGGCCTTCCTACACCCCTGTTGCAAAGCCGGATCCCTCGTCGATGTCTGAAGACCAAAGTAGCAACTTGCAGCAATCCGATGCAGATATGGCAGCCTCCGATCAAGTCTCCCTCTTGAGGGGAAGCCCAAAAGTCACTCAATGGCTTCTTGAAGTGCAGATTCCAGGTGCGAGTACCTCTCACTCTCTACTCCCTCTCGCTTACTCCAATCAGCCTCCTTTGTGTCTCGCCACCCCATCCATTCACTCAGTCAACCTGGTCAGGCCAAATGTCGACCCTACATGACCTAACCAGGTGGGGGCAGTATCCACATACCTCACTGCCCCACTTAACCCTAACTTCCAACCCTCATCCGAGATTAGGTTAGCCCTGGCCTAACTCGGAATTAGGTTTAGGGTGACTAACACCTCCCGCCAGCAAGTAAGTCCGCTCCRATACCAATTGTTACGATCCTGGTCATTTCCCAAGTGCAAATTCACAATGAAAGACAATGCCACCCAATTTCGAAAGAAATGAAAGCACTTGCAAAGAGATCAAGACCAGAGGAGAGAGAAAGGAGAAGAGGAAGAAGAAGAAGAAGTACACCAGCAAGACCAATGACAATTCCCCCTTCTCTGTCCACCTTCCTCCTCCTCCTTCACTTCACCAATCTTATTCTTCACTCAATAATAATAATAATAACAATGAATGGATGAACCAGAATCAATATCCGAAGTTCCCTCTTACAGCTGACTCAACTCAACAACGACAACAACAACAACCAGTCCACCATAGCTATGGCTTCCCTCCTTCAACCTTCTCTCTCATGCATAGGCTATGGCGGACTACTCCAAGCAGCTAGGGTGCTGCGCTGATGTCCGAAGGACAACCTAAGCAGCTATGGTGCTGCGCTGATGTCCAAAGGACAACGCAGACCAGCTATGCCGCTGCTGACTTGGTCCGCTATGCCTGACTCTGCCTCGAGCTTCCCTGGTGCCGCACTACCCCAAYTGGGGCCTTCCAGATGCAGCGCCCAACAAGGTGATGAAGATGGTGTCTTCCATAGCCAGGTAAGTGCCCCGCCACTCTCCTACCATGCCCCCTTSTTCCTCCTCCTCAAGCTGGAGTGCTCGCCATAGCTAGGCTGAGCTCCARCGGCCCTTCACCTCCGAGCAGYGCTGTACCAGACCAGCRCTGCGCTCCAGCAGCATGTCGCCAATCCTTGCACACCGCAAATGAGGAAGAGCTCTTTGCTCTTCCTGAAGATATAGMGGCCTACCGGCCTCCTGGGCGGTGACTTCCTAGGCCTAGCGGYCTCCCAGCAACCGGTACCTCCTCCCTTTCGGAGGGAAACATCATTGCAGGCTCTGCTATCCTCCGCACAGGCCCTAGACCCGGGCTACTTGGACTGGTACCGGCSTASCTCTAACCTACYGCTACTGGGCCTCTAAAAATGCCAACTTTTTGTCTTCTTSTGCTCGGCCTCCAGTACCCGACACTTCTACCACTACTTCAGTGGTACCGGCCTACCTGCTACTTGAGTGTTTTTCCCCTCTGCTCTARGTGYCGCGGGCCTACCCCCGCTACTYGAGTGTTTTCCCCCTGCAACCCTTCACAGTCACGRCCACAGGTAAGTACCGGCCCTGCGGGGCCTTGCAACCAACAAGTACCCTTGCGGGTCACACACACACTCAACCGTCAAGCACTCAGACARGCATGCAAACCAGCWGGCACGCACACACACAAAGAYATGGAAATCAYAGCAGAATGCGGGAATTTCAACAAGGCATTCATTCCAGCGGCAAATCCCAGAAATCAGCAGTGTTCTCAGTCTGTGTTTTTGGCGGGTCATTACATTACCCCCCTCTCAAGAGCGAGGTCCCTTCGAGCGAGGAACTCAATCAGAGTTGGCACAGAATGCATCGTAGGAGTAGATCAGAAGGAGAGACTTTGTAAGTCCGTGAGGAGTCATTTGTGCAACGAATTTACCAGCCTGTCCCTCAGCGATCTGTAGTTCATAAGCGTTCACAACACGGGGAGCACTCTTTAGCAGCTCTTTTCGGTCGATCCAGAAAAATTCAGTCAACGGGTGATAGAGGAAGTGAACCTTGTACTGTTCAGTCTATCTCATGGCCGCGTCGATAGGGCGAGGTATCATAGGGCCTCGTAATGGAAACGTCTCATCATCAATATGTGGAAACAGTTTGGACGCATGTACGTGCGCACCTTCGAAGGAAACTGAAGGAGGATCTGGTCGAACACACCGCCAAGGATCCGGACCAAGACAAGCATGCTGCGCTCAAGGCTAGGCTGAAGCTTGAGGCCCTCAAGGATCAAACATGGAGGTCCTCCATGCAAGCTTTGGAACAACACTTGACTGGTTTGTTCACCACTCCAGATCTGGGAATGACTGACGTGTCTAGTATGGATGTAGTCATGGGAGTGGCCCCCAAAGAATATCTCTCCCTGTTGGCACTCAAAGACCCTGAATGGTCACCTGGTCTGATGCCCGACATGCCTGGCTACAATGCCAAGTACGCACGCTTGCTCAAAGTTGTTATTGCAGCCATGAACAAGTGCCAGCATGGCATGATCAAACATGCTAACAAGCTGCGCAAAGCAGAGAAATTCAAAGTAGGGGATTATGTTTGGGTTAAAATGTCTGAGTTTTCTAATGAAGAGGGCATATCACACAAACTCCTTCCATTGTACTATGGCCCCTAGCAAATTCTGAAGGTGATTGGGGATTATTTTGGTCCTTCCCACAAGGCAAGTCAAGAATTCAGGATAGCGAGACAGCGCATCAACAACCCGGTTATAACAACCTTTCTTGTATTTCAATTCAAAGCTGTAGACATCAATGTCATGCAACCAGCGGGTCAATGTAGGAGAGAGTTCAGATTGTGTCTGAATCCACTGCAAGGTCTGATGATCTGAGTAGACCTTGAAGTGGCGACCCAAGAGGTAGTGCTTCCAATGTGCAAGAGCCTCGCGCAGGGCGTAGAGCTCACACATATATGTGGAAGTAGCTACCTTGTGGTTGGGCATGCGTTTGCTGTAGTACTCAAGCGGACGCAGGCCATCACCATCATCTTGTTGCAGCACAGCACCAATCCCGAACTGACTCGCATCCGTAGTGACTACGAACGTGAGGTTGGGATCGGCAATGCGAAGCACAAGGTGACTCACCAATGCCTCTTTCAAGGCTTGGAACGCAGTCTCACACTTCTCACACCATGCATAGGCAACATTCTTGCTGGCTAGTCTTAAGAGAGGGTGAGCAATGACATAGAATTTGGGCACAAACTTCCGGTAATACGAGGCCAGACCAAGAAAAGAACGCAGTTCGCGTACGTTTGCCAGTTGAGGCCAGTTTCGGATGACCTCAACCTTGGTTGCCTTCGGCTCAAGGCTGTTTGCAGACAACCGGTGTCCAAGATAGATGACGCTATCCCTCCCAAACTCATATTTCTCTAAGTTGAGGTGCAGCTGCGCCTCCTTGAGGACCTGCAAAACTTCCTCAAGGTGCTTGAGGTGCTTTTCCATGGTTTTGTTAAAGATCAGGATATCGTCAAGGTACACAACCACAAACCTGTTGAGTTGATGGCGAAGTACCTTGTCCATGAGGCACTGAAAGGTGGCCGGCGCATTCGTAAGACTGAAGGGCATAACGATGAACTCGTACAGCCCATCGCGTGTTTTGAATGCAGTCTTGTGCTGGTCACTCGGATCAACTTCAATCTGGTGGTAACCAGATTTGAGGTCGATTTTGGAGAAGACCTTGCACCCACCTGCCGCATCCAGCAGATCATCTATGCGAGGCAAAGGGTAAGCATTCTTTCTTGTGATCCGATTAAGGCCACGATAGTCGATACACATCCAGAGTTTGCCTCCTTTCTTTGGCACAAACAGGACAGGTGCACCGAACTCAGACTCACTGGGCCTAATCCATCCACGGTCAATCATATCATCAATCTGCCTTCTCAATTCTTCCAACTCGCCTTGTCCCATACGGTAGACGCAGCCTTTTGGAGGAACATTCCCCTCTATTATCTCGATTTTACGCTCAGGAACTCCACGAGGTTCGACCAAAACTTCAGCGAATCGATCTAATAGCTGGCGAATGTTTGTTGGAACTTCCGGTGGAGGATCATCCTCATCAGGAGAAAAAAAATTAGACTGAGAATTTACAGCAATGACAACCGGATTAGAAGTAGAAGGATTATTCACAGTAGAAGTAGATGGATTAGAAGCAGAGGTGGTAGAAGTAGAGTTACTTACCAAGGTAGAAAACGCAGCAAAAGTAGAAGGCACATGGTTAGGCTTTACAAAAGCTACATGTACATGCTCAATCTCCTTGCGCCTGCGCACTAATTTGCAGAATTTGGTTGCACTTAGAAGAGTCACAGGGGACTCGCGCGTCTCATCCAATAGGTCGGTACGCTCGTTCCCCTTGGCATCACGCACCACGAACTGGTTGTCCGCCCACGTGGTCCTTAGGCAATGAGCCTTTAACCAACCCAAGCCAATGACCGCGTCGAACGGACACTTGTCCATGACATAGAAGTTGAGCTCATGTGTGACTGTGCGGTCTTTGTCAAAGGTGACGCGCACACCTTTGACAGCATGTGTAGAGGTGACAACCTCTTGGTTGCCCACCTGGGTCTGACAAGGGTTCTGCAGTTCCACTTGCTTCATTCCCAGGCCCGCCTTACGAATCCCGTCAGGAGAAAAGAAGTTAGTGGTTGAACCACTATCAATCAGCACGCGGATGTATCGGCGGTTAATGAGCAGTTTAAAGAAGGTTAGTTCCACACTCCCTTGAACACGGCGTTGCTGCTTGAGCTGCAGCCAGTGTTCCGTGTGAGCGTGGAAGTCAACTTCCTTAGACTCCTCCCAAGGCTCAGTGTAAAGCACATGAATTGCAGCAGCCTTGGAATCAGCGTCGTTCCGGGCTTCAAGAGTGGGTTGTTGATCAGATTCAGGCTCATTAGAGGGGCCTGCAACTGATGTTCTAGCTTCCCTTGTTGTAGGGAGTGCTGGTGACTCCTCTACGCCCTTTGCTTGTTTCCCTGCAGTCTATAACAGTCCTGCACAGCATGCCCAAGCTTTTGACAGTGCAGGCATATGCGCAGTTTAGATCTTCTTTCCCATTCCTTTTGACTGATACGGAGGGCTTCCCAAGGCTTGGTTGATGCATCCTCCGGTTTCTCTGGGATCTTCGCTTTCTTTGGGAGGTGGAGAACAGTTCCCTTACCTGAACCATGGTTAGGCCCCTTGTTTGAAGCAGTCTTTCTAAAAGCATTCAGTTTTTCATCTTCGTTGACGTCGGACTCAATGGCTGATGTGGAACAGCCCATATCGGAGTCCGGCTCTAGATCGTCATCTAGAGACAGATCATCCGCATATGACTGATCGTCAGCCTCCCGATGATCATGCGGTGCAAGCTGGTTGCTGCTTCCAAACCGCTTGCGTTGTGGTTTCCCACCTGCAGCGGGCGCCTTCTTCCGCCTGGCGAGGTCCTTGGCTTCTAGGTTGACTAGATCTGTCATGAGCTCTCGCCAGGTGCTGTGGTCTTTGAGTGCCAACAGGGAGAGATTTTCTTTGGGGGCCACTCCCATGACTACATCCATACTAGACACGTCAGTCATTCCCAGATCTTGAGTGGTGAACAAACCAGTCAAGTGTTGTTCCAAAGCTTGCATGGAGGACCTTCATGTTTGACCCTTGAGGGCCTCAAGCTTCAGCCTAGCCTTGAGCGCAGCATGCTTGTCTTGGTACCGTGCGAGGAGAAGGTCCTCAAGGGCGCGTACAGGGGTTACCTTCAGCCAATCTGTCAGGTCAATTCGTTTATAACCTGCAGCAACAGCTTGGAGCTCAATGTAGTTCCGTGCGGTGGGCTCGGTATTAGTCCCCATGATCATACTTCGGTCCTCTTGCGGTGTCCGCATAACCTCGAAGTATGACCTCATGAAGCTAATCCAAGAGGTAATGTCTGCTTTCCCGACGTACTTGGACGGCAGCGTGGCCGCCCTCTTGTCCACCATGGGACCGCTGTACTGTTGGGCTGATGTCCCTGCATTGGGGACTGTGACCAGCGCAGAACTGTCGGCGCTGCCGCTCGAGGAGCTGGCTCCGGTTCCTACACTTGCCACAGTTCCATTGGCACTTGGCACGAGGACTGTGTTGGACTGAGAGACTGGGATTACAGCAGATCGAGGGTTAGGAGGGCGGGGGGCAGATAGTTGAGACTGTTTGAGGCTGGTTATCTCAGCCTGCAGCTCTTGGTTCCGCTGCTCCAGCGCTGTTACACGGGACTCAAGGTTTTCCAAGGTCCGCAGTCGAACCAAGGCTGCTACGACAGCAGCTAGTCCCTCCTGGAACCGGTCAGCATTGGCTTCCGGGATCCAAAGGAGAGCCACCTGATCAGCAATGTTGGCAGCTCTGGTTGCTGCCTCTGCCTCCCTTTCCCTCTGCACGGCGTCATCATAAAGCCTCTGGAAGAATGGTCTCTCGCTCTCATCTGCTGCATCCAGCATGGCCTGCCATTGGGCAAATGTGATATTAGCCATGCCGGAGGAAGGGGTGTCAGTAGGTCTTTCAAGAGGGGTCCGCTCTCTCCTTACGTTTGGACGAACACTCCTCTTGCCCCTCCTCACACTCTCAAACAGAACACCCTCTCTCTCCCTTTCTTCTCTTCTCGCTGTCTGCGCACGTGTCTCGATACCGGACATAGATAGTTCAGATGAAAGAAACAATCAGAAAGTTCACACAGAGAAGAAGGTAGAACTCCTAGCCGGAGCGGCAATTCATTTGGACTCAGAGAGCAGCACGCAACAGAAAAG